GATAATGGCTTCTGGAGCTGTAGCCTCAAAGTCTTCCCTGTCCTCTACAGACAGATAATGGAGGGAAGAGCACTTTTTATAGTTGCAGCCTTGACATTGTTCCTACCTCAATCAGAGTGATGTTAGAGGGAAGGAAGTGGCCTCTGGAGCTGAAGCCTCAAAGTCTTCCTTGTCCTCCTTGTCCACCACAGACCAACATCCAGTAGATTTCCATGAGCAAAGCAAAGCAGCTTCATTTATATACTTATTCATAACATGCTATGGAGTGTCTAAGCGGTTTACAACTGTAAGATCATTGCCCCCCAACAGCTGGGTACTCATTTTAGTGACCTCAGAAGGAAGCAGGCCTGAGTCAAGTCTGAGCCTTGGCTAGTATTGAACTCACAACCTTATGGTCTATGAGTCAATGGCTGCAGTACAGGCATTTAACCACTGTGCCACCAGGACTCACTCTGTCTCATGAGCAGAGATTCATATCCTGATCTCCCAGTGTCCTAGTCCACCACTGAAATCACTAAATCACACTGGCTCTTGTCTGTGTGTATGTGTTATTTGCCAGTCATGCTTCCCCCCCCCCACACACCCCTCCACCATCACCAAGCATACTTACAGAATGAGAGAGAGAGAGAGAGAGAGATTTTGGAATAAAATTAGATAAGATTAGGAGAAAAGCAAGAATTTGCCTGTAGAGTAACACTGCTTGGAAAACTGATATAAAGTGGTAGAGCTGCTGCTCTGCAGTAAACATGCATGGGACTTTCCTCTCCTTAGTGCTGGCTGATGGTTTCCAAGTCAATGGGGCAATGAGTCCACTATTGTTTGTAGTATGAACATTTAAGCCCCCTTGAAACTTGTACTGGGAGAAAGGCAGGATATTAATTCATTAACTAATATGGTTGCTATCCAAGTGCTGAAACCTACCTCCACAACAGATGCAGCAATTGGGAAAGCATCTTTAATGTTCACTGTATTACTGATAGGGGAGTCACCAATCAACACTGCCTCTGCTTCTGCTCTGCTTGTGTACTTTTAAATGAGGGAAACATTATTTAAATGGAATATGTTTCCACAGTTCTTTCTCCCCATTGATGAATATTGACTCAGTAGCAGACCTGTGCACAGCATGGCCAGCAGTGGCAGGCAATATTATCTTACTTCTTAGAGACTGGAACTTGCAGCAGAGATACCGGTTTATATGGATTCTTTCTCTTCTGTTGTACATTTCACTGTTCACATATAACAGCAACTCACATGCAAAATGTTAATAAAGTAAGCTACAGAGATTTTCTCTGGGCAAATTAGAAAATAAAAACAAGAACAAAATAAAATGATTACAATTGCAATTTTAAAAAATAATAAAATGCAAATAAAATACAACAAATAAAATATCAAATTAAAATGACCCCTTAAAAATAGAAAAGCAGAAGAAAATAACTCTATAGCATCAATGAAATTAACAACCCAAAGCAGAAGAATAAATAAATATTCACAGAGTTTAAGGGTCTTTGGTGATGACCATGAGGTAAATGTGGGAAGCAAAAATATATTGTTTCATATTGTGCTGTTTAAATTGCTGTTGGTCCTTTTTAAATGTGTATTTTAAATTGCTTTATTTTTTTATATTTTAATTTTGTTTTAATGTTGATTTTTTGTATATTTTTTAAACTAAATAATAATAATTTTAATGTTTAAGTTGCTTTGAGTCTTGATCTTATGGAAGAGGCAGGATTATAGGCTTGAAAATAGACCAGAAGCCAGGGAAGAGTATGGACATATTGTATTTGTAAAACCTGGTTAGTCCCTCTGCAGCTGTATTTAATACTTATCCAGGTTCCTGGTCCATTTTTAAATGTGATGCACAACTGTGATCCAAACAGGAAGTTTACAGAGTATGGTTCACTAAAACCATGTAATCTCTGTCATACCTAAGGTTTCACTGTAAGCTGGCAGAAAGTGCTGTAAACCATAAAGTTTTTCTTGGCTCACTGGTAAATAGAAGAGATAGCAAATAGAGGAGACTGTTTTACTGCTACTGACAAAGATGAATCAATGAGCATCCACAGTCTTTAGACTTGATTCTTTATGGGAGTTGTACCATTCTCTTAAGATATCTATATAGAACCATATAATGAGTTGGAAAGGACCACAAAGTCTATTGTATCCAACCCCCTGCCATGCAGGAACACACAACTGGAACACTTATGAGAGATGACCATCCAACCTTGTTCAATACTTGGCAAATAAGGAAAGTCCACTGCCCTCTGAAGCCATCTATTTCTCTGCCAGACAGCTCGTACAGGAAAGAAAACAGTAAATAATTGAAAACTCCTCACATGAGTGCTTGAACCACTTGATAACAGTATTCTTTTGAGTCTGAGCATTGCCTCCTGTTGTGTTCCTTCATTGCTTCTTGGTAATAGAGTAATCACCATAAAGTAAGTCACTACAACTGCTTTAGATGGAAGATAATATGGTTTTCCAAAAAAACAGTTTTATGAGTGACTTTGATGAATCAACCTGTCACTGCTGCAGCATTTGATAAGGTCAGCTATCATCATTCTCTGTGAAATTACCCAGCACTGCCATTTGATGTCTCATATTAAATTCTTTTATGCAATGGATAGAGGAGATGGGAAAGTTGCCTTGCCTTTGCCATGAACTGTTAGAGAATTATCTCAGAGCACATGGTGATAGTCTATTACTGAAGTTGAGCAAGTCCGGGTTTACTAGTCACCTGGCATGGGAAATCACCTGGTAAAACATTCTTAGCTCTTTGGAGGGGAAATAGAGTCAAAATGTGTAAAATGATCTCCCTTACCTCCCAGAACAGGTTTGTGTATGTTCCTAAATAAATGTGCAAATCACTTGCAGTGCTTACTTTTCTTGGGGTAGGAAGGGCATAACATATCACTTTTGCAAAATAATGTAAGGGTGGTAATTTTTATTTTTATATTGGTGATATAATGAGTAACATTTTCTTCTAAAAATATAATTTGGGGAACATTTGATGGGATTTGGAGACTTTTTTCTCATTTAAGTGTGTAATTATGAAATAATCGCATTTTTAAAAAGCTGATTTAAACCATTACTCTTAAAATAGCAAGAACATGTTACTTTGAGAGAAAAAAATCAATAACAAGGAATGCCTAACTAGAGGCATCGCTATGGGTGTGTGTGGAAATGGACCTAAGGGAGGGTGACATCATTGCTCCCCAAACATCTGCCTTTTGGTAGAAACAGGCTGGGGTGTTTGCTTTTGTCCTTTTAAAGTGCTGAAGAGATGGTTTCAGTGGGGCAAGGCTCAGTGGAAGGAGAGAGGAGGGCCCCCTAGATTTTTTTAAATCTAAATTATTTTTTTAAAAATAATTTAAAAAACAACTAAAATATATTTTTTTATCTTTTTAAAATTTTCTTAAAAAGCATATCTTACCAAATGTTCAGTTGAATCATGTGAAACTATGTACAGGTACAGAAATATAGGCTGGGCATATGATACTGTAATTTAAAGGTATAATTTTAATTTTTCTAGTTGTTTATGTCACAATTATTATTGTTACATTCAATGAAATACAGGAATTACAATTTATGAGTAACATTAGTACACAAAACATTACTCAGAATTCTGTATGATGTGGTATGAGAGGAGGTCAATGGGGTGACACTAAAAGTTACTGTATTGGATGATACCAACACTAGTGATGCCACTGCACCTAACACTTATTTCTAATAACAATACTCCACATTTAGGCATTCCTGAAACCTTTTTCCTCTATAAAAAGGTGGGGGGGCAGTTGGGTAATTTTCTGAGGTATCCATCAGTCAATAGGAGTGAGATTGTCTCCACTGAGGTGACAATAACTACATTGAAGGAAAAAGATACACCAGCTTGATTACTCTTGCTCTCAGTGAAACAAACACAAACTTCTGTAGGTTCTCCTAGCTTTTCTGTTCTTCCTCTTTAATATTTTTTACCATCTTGACAACATTCTGATATTGCTTGGCCCCACATGTCCCAGTTTTCTTGTCTGAAATGTTGAAAAGTAGGATTGAATCAATTACTAAATGGTACGTAAATGCTATGAACTTAGTGGGTTTACTTAAATTCAGGCTAGCAATTGGACTTTGATCTAAAGTTCCAATTATATTACAAAAGGAGTGAAGTTATCTCTTCTCAAGTTGTAATTATAATATAATTTAGTCAAACATTAGTTATTACAAAAAAGATATTAATTATAACTAATTATAATTATATATATTAGTTATAACTAAACAATTAGCTGCAGACAGTTATTTCTCAGTTCTGCTCTTGGCACTATTACACTCCCCATTACAAAATGAGAGTACAGCTAGTCTGGTTTACAAAATAGATATAAGCATTGCTGCAGATTTGTAGGTACAATGGGCCTTTCCCATACTCAGGGGATCTGTTCTGGACCCACCACCATCACCACATAAAGGAAAAATGTGTATGCTCAAACCCCATTTAAAACAATGGCCATGCACTTCTACACACAGTGTGATGTATGTACTGCGAGGACCATTATTGCTTCTGGGGCTTGCCATCAACATAGGTTTAAAGCCACATATGGCACACCCACATATGACATGGGTGCACTGTTTTATATGAAGAGCTATGAACATCTAAGAATACTACACAAATACTAAGTGTTATTGTTGTGAAATGCAGTTTCTTACTATATAAGCATAAGATCAGAGAACCTTATACAGTGAAAATCCAATTAATTCTTCCAAATATGTAAGACTAATTTCTAATAATATGCTTCTCTGAACAGAAGGCTATTCATAATATAGTTCTGTCAAGTGTCTATGAGCATTGGCTCTTAAGTAATATTGATATAAATTCAGCCATTAGAAAGCAGATTATAATTGCACCACTAGAGGAACTGAATGATTTGCCCTCAATAATAGTTTCAAAGAGCAGCCATTGTGAAACAGAAGGTAGCCAGATTGCTTTGGTTTATAAAATGAAATACTATCCAGTCAGTGTGGTGTAGTGGTCTGAATGTTGTACTATGACTTTGAAAACCAGGGTTTGATTCCCAGCTTGGCCATGAAATCCACTGGGTGACCTTGGGCAAGTCACATGCTCTCAGCCTCTGGAGAAGGCAATGGCACATCTCCTCTGAACAAATCTTGCCAAGAAAACCTCATGATAGGTTTGCATTAGTGTTGTCATAAAGCAGAAATGACTTAAAGGTACACAACAACAACAATGCCACATTAATTTTTGCAAAGAAAATAAGAAATTTGAGTAAACCTATTTCAACTGCCATGGCCGTGGCCTCAGAAGGAGAGAAAAACTGCCTGACTTGATCCCCTTCCCCACTGCCATTCCTGTTCCTTTGTGTCATGTCTTTTTAGATTACAAGCCTGAGGGCAGGGAAATGTCCAATTAACAATTTGTAAGTCTCCCTAAGAGCATTCCTAAAATGTGGGGTATAAATACTACTACTACTACTGCTACTAAATAATAATAATAATAATAATAATAATAATAATAATAATAATAATAATTGATAGAAAAGGACAGGAAATTCTAGTGGACTGAGACTGGATCAGAGGTTAGAACTAATTAGGAAGAAATAATGAGGTACCTGCCATTAAATTAGTTTTGCAACCAATAAGAAAGGTTCCACAGCCTTTCTGATATTGCAAGCTAAACAGGATGAACTCTGGTTAGTACCTAGATGGGGGACCCACCAACAAATACCAGGTGCTTTAGGGTATATTTCAGAGAAAGAAATTGGCAAAACTACCTCTGAGTATTCCTTGCCTAAGAAAATCCTATGAAATTCATGGGGTGACCATAAGTCTACAGGCAACTTGAAGGCATATGCACATACAAACCATACATAACAGAGTTGCATTATGATATTGATGCAATGGGGGATTATGTTTAAAAATGTAGTCATGTTAGTTTGTATTTGTATGCAAAAGGGTCTTGTAGTACCTTTGAGATTAACTGAGAGCTTGTAGCATAAGCTTTTGTAGACTGGATCTCCTTGAATGGGCAAGGTGTGTGCATGAATAGTAATAGAGTGACAAGATTGGTTTTAACAATATCTGTAAAGGGCAGTTAGGGGACAAAGGATCACTCATAATGTTTCTCATTTTGTGGTGTGACTGTTTTAGTTGAGTTCATAGATACAGTTGGGATGGTCTCACTAACCTGGACATCAAGTGTGCTCCAGGCCAGGGCTTTGTAGCATTCTAATGGTGTTTTAAATAACAAAAGGGACTTTCAGTCATCTTTGAATAAAAGAAAATAATTACTTTTTTGTAACTGTAATGGAAGCCCTCTAAACTGAGCCTTGGAATTGAAAGGGTAACAAATGACCTTTTCAAATAATTTTCCAAGGCCTACCCTGAGTAGGAAGAATATTTTAAATGGCTAATGATGTGAGTGGGTGTAGGGAGTGGAATCAGTTCAGTAGCGTGCACAGGAAGAACTTCAAGATGCAGGGATAGATGATTATTATTTCAATTTGTTAATTTAATTTTAAAATTACAAGTTTCTCCATATACATGCTGGAGCAAATTTGAAGTTGCTGTTTAAAGATAGTAACTGAAAGATAAACTGACAGATATTTTTACCCCTTAGCTAGATGCTTGTTTCAAGCAAAGACTGTGACATCTTTCAACTAAAGATTGGAGCAGGTGGAAATATGCTAAAATAGGGTCAGGAAGAATAACCACGTGTCATCACTAGAATTCCCCTCAGGAACTTTGCTCAAATATTGAAAATGCAACTATTTGCCTTAGGTCAAAAATGTGTTGGTCCCATATGGGGACAGCAAGTAAACTCACAATTATGCATAGGGTGCTCCTCCTTCTCCTCTGTACTGAGATTCTAAGGCCAAAATGGGGAATGCATGAATTTTTGAAGTACTGAATTATACTGCAGGAGGATTTGGGGCTTATCCCACCAACCCACAAAGATCTACAGGCAAACCGAACCAGATGCACACACAAATGGGGTCCAACAAAAGCTACTCCCTGAAGTTAATATTTGCATCCAGAGGAAAAGCCTCCATGGGTGACAACAGGTCAGCTCTAACTTGGTTCTCAGTGTCAACGTTTTGCAGAAACTTGGGGAAGGGGCAATCACTAGATGCTTAAATGTGAAGTATGACACACTGTACTTTGAATGAAATGTTTGAACCATGACTGAACATTGACAGAAGGCCAAATGGAATGAGGGGTGGGGACACTGGCTTCTAATAATAATTAATCAGGGAAACTTTAACTTTTAATCAAAATGAATACAATGACATTGTAAAGCCACCCACAATGGAACTGTTGTAAGACCAGACTCTGGGCTAGGGAGATGCTATGGCAGAGGGAAGAGAGCATTGTCCTCAAATAAGAATTCTGCCCCATATTTAAAATTTCCTTCAAATTTCTACCATTAAAGAGAGTGATATATTCAAAACTGTGCACACTTTAGAACATTTATATATGCTGTGTTCACATTCCCTTACTTTGGCTGCCCCTTTTGTGAAATACTTAAACTCTATTTCTAAATGCATAACTATAGTTTACATTTTTAGCTAGACCCCTGTTCTAGGTCTTACAGTATCATCCTGCCACTGGTTGACTGACATTACATTCATTTTTCTTAGAAGCAGTTTTCCAAACTCTGTTAATTTGTCATCCCTTTCTAGTTTTATCTTCTTCCATAGGGCCTTTGCAGACTGCCAGAAATAGTGCACATTAAATTGAGGCACTTCCCCAGCTCAGTACTAGGGAATCATGGGAACTGTAATTTATTGTGGTACCAGAGCTCTCTGACAGAGAAGGCTCAATGTCTCAGAAAAAAAATACAATTCCCATGGCTCCCTAGCACTGAGCTAGGGCAGTGCCTCAATTTAATGTGCACTATTTCTGGCAGTCTGCAAAGGTCCATAGCTGACATGCATTGGAAGCTTCCATTTTGATTTTGGTGAAATCAAGTGTATAAATGAAAGTGTTCTCTTCCTGTGGTGATGATGATGATGATGATGATTTATATCCCGCCCCTCTGCAGAGCAATCAGGGCAGCTTACAATATTAAAATTTTCATACAGATATGTTAATACATTGTAAACAGAACCTAAAAATTCTGAAACCCACTCGCCCCTTTAAAAGTAAGGGTTCTTCTTAGACTAGGCCCAATGGAGATGGGCCTGCATCTCTCCCCCAGATGATGTCGGATGGTAGAAGTTTTATTTTATTTTCCTCCTCACATTAATTTTTTTTTTTTAGATCTGTTTCTCAAGAATGGAACTCTTCATCTGAAAAATATAATAATTCAGTCAGGTTTTCCTCTTAATTTCTGGGATTGTAATGTTGAAGGAAATTCATTGTAAACAAAACAAGTAAACTATAATGGATTATTTTAATGGTTTCACTGCTACCCTGTATTCTCTAATGACAGCAATTTCAGTGATGGGTTGAGGGGATTAATAATTAAGTACTGCAAGATTTCATTTTGTTCAGTTTTAATCCTTAAATTAAAGATTTACATAGTTTGCAATATTTAATTAATTAATCCATTTGAGATTCATAAAATAAATGCATTCTGATGTAAGAATTGTCTGCTTGGTCTTCAGACATTAGAGGTCTGTGGAAATCAATCATGACTACATAAAAAGAGAATTGGTTAAGGAGATTTTTTTAAAAAAATTCTATTTCAAAGCTACTGTTTTGGCATTTTAAACTAGATTAAGGCAAAGCATTTGAGAAAATAATAGTGGGTAAAATGAGCAGTGGGTAAAATAGTGAGTACAATGAGGAACGTGATAGCTCGGTGGTTAAGAAACTGACTCTGATTATTGCAAGATCAGCATGTCAGCAGTTTGATGCCCAAGTGCTGCATGACAGAGTGAGTCTCATCACTTCTGCCAACCTAGAAGTTTAATTTCTCTCTAGAAACTCAGTGATGCACTAGTAAGTGTTGTCAGTTGATAATGAGATTGGTAAGCAGTTGAGCAGCACCCAATCAGGATTTATGTGGGAACATTCACAAAGTTAGAGATAACTTGAAAATGGCGAACAGAGCAAATCAAAATAAAAGAGAGATGCCAAATCTTTACGAAGCTAACCATGCGGCATCTAGAAAGTCCCCTGAACTCTGTTTATCCTCCATTGAGGGATTTCATATCCTGAAATAACAAGACCACTTCCTGCTCAAGCAGTGTGATAATAACATAGTCAAAATTATTTAGTAGATTTAACAGAGTATGGTCTCTTTCATAATATTCTAGAGAAGTAAATGTTCTCATAATGTATTCCCTTGGGTTTTACCTATTGTCAGTGGAATCACTAGAGTTGGTGTCACTTGATGCGGTAACTCATAGTGTCACACTCAATTGACCTCCTCCCACACCATACCATACATAATAATAATATAATAAGTTTTATTTTTAACCCACCTCTCTCCTCAGCAACTGGGGCAGGGTACAGCATAATTTAAACAAGCAATAGTTAAAACATACCATCAACCCACTCTCTCCCCCTCCCACCCCTTAAAACTAAATTAAACTAATTCAATATTAAAAACAGTTAATGCTGCAAAATATGATGAAAACCAAATAGGGCAAACAGGCAATATTAGGAAGGGGGTGGATAGTAACCACCTCCAATTGAGCCAGGGTTATTCCAGGAAGGCCTGCTGGAAGAGATCCATCTTTACTGCTTTTTAAAAGCTAGCAAGAGTGGTAATAAGATGGATCTTGTCTGGCAGGCCATTTCATAGTTTGGAAGCGGTCGCAGAAAAGGCCCTCTGGATCATTAGTAATGTTTTTTTTTTCTCCTTACGTTACTCATAAATCATAATTCCCATATATCACTGAATTTAATGGCAATATCTGTGAAATAAACAACTAACAAAATTAAAATGATACATTTAAATTACAATGTCACGTGCACAGCCTAAATGTACATAGTTTTATGTGGTTAAAGAGAAAGTGTGATAAAATGTGATTTTTTTAAAGAAACTTTTTAAAAGAATAACTTTAAAAAAATAAAAAATGTTTTTTATTTTTAAATGTATTTATTTAAATAAAAAAAT